ATCCACTCACCTCAGCCTCCCAAAGGCATGGGATTACAGGCTGAGCCACCGAGCCCAGCAAGTTACCATGTGTTAAACTTACTCTCTGCTTTCCTGGTGCCATTTGAGAAGTTATGGGTAATGAACTTTCTCATTCTAGATGCAAATCATACTGATAGTAATATCAGAGAAATTTTGATCACTACTCTTCTTGTTTCTGACTTCATTTCTAGAAACTAGAAAATGAAGCCTCAAAAACGTAGTTGCATCTCTGGTCATTTCTAAGACCAAGCACCCTCACCCTCACCACCACCACCACCATTATCACATTCCTATGAAAAGTAGTAAAGGATGAGGAGGCAGCACATCTCATCAACAAGGGTACCTGCATAATGAACACTTGTATACCTAACCCTGAACTGTGCTACACATATTCAAAATAAAATGGAAAGATAAATAGTACCTGTACTTAACCTGGTTCAAGATTACTGGTTGATTTTACAGAATTTTGCTACTTTTCCTCGTGCAAAAGGCAGACTGCTTACCAGTCACCCTCTACCTCACATGTGGAAAAGAGATGCTGTCAAGCTTGGATGTCCCTTGCCCCTCCAGCCCTCCAATAAAGGATGGATACTAAGGTGTCTACTCAGTGTGGACCACCTGGTCCTCATCAGTCTCACTACAAAGTTATGTTGTGCTTTGCCAAAAAAAAAAAAAATCTTAGAAATTGTTCCCATATATCAAAGGTAACTTTCTAAGGATTAATTTAGAATGCAGGAATTTTCGGTTGTAGATCTGGCAATTTCCAAAGTGCTCCTTTATTTCCATATGACCATTTCTACAATAAGCGAAAGGTATTAATTTAGAGAATATAATATGTATCTAAGATAGAAACCAGGATTTCCAACTTGAGCACTAAAAGTTAAATTTTTTTCCTGTTGTATTTTATTTAGTTTTTAACAATCAAAGCCTTTTCTTTCAGGCCCTAAATTATTTATACTTTTGGTGGCAACTAAGAAAACTATTTCTCTAAAAGAAAGTTTTCTTAAAGCTTCTTGAAAAAAAGCATAGTTTTCAAAACTATAGAAAACTTTTTATGTTCACAATACATGTGCCTCGTTCTTTTAATCAACTATAAAATTCCATTGCATTAACAACGTAGTATCTATTTAATCAATCTCACTCATGAACAATTAGGTTTGTTCTGCTTAATTGACATTAAACAATGCTGCTTTGATTACTCCAGACCACACATTTCTATAAATAAATTTCTACAAGGCCGGGCTCGGTGGTTCAGCCTGTAATCCCGCGCTTTGGGAGGCCAAGGTGAGTGAATTGCCTGAGCCCGCAGGCTTGAGACCCGCCTGGGCAACTTGGCGAGACCTCATCTCTACAATAAATCAAAAAAAAACTAGCCGGGCGTGGTAGCGCACACCTGTAGTTCCAGCTACTTGGAAGGCTGAGGTGGAAGGATGGCGGGACCACAGATCGAGGCTGCGGTGCCAGGAGCAGCCACCGCACTCCAGTCTGGGTGACAGTGAGACTCCAACTCAAAAAAAAAAAAACCAAAAAAACAAAATTCCTACAGAGAAAATTGCTAGATCAAAGCAAATGTAGGCCAGGCGTGGTGGCTAACACCTGCAATCCCAGCACTTTGGAAGGCTTGAGCCGAGGGGTTCAAGATCAGCCTGGGCAACTTGGCGAGATCTCACTCTCTATAATAATTCAAAAAATTAGCCAGGCATGCTGGTGCACACACTAGTCAGTAGTTCCAGCTACTTGGAAGGCTGAGGTGGAAGGATCACCTAAGCCCAGTAGGTCAAAGCTGCAATGGCCATGACCGTGCTACTGCATTCCAGCCTGGGTGACAGAGACCCCGACTCAAAAAAAATAAAGCAAATGGAAATTCTTCTGAGATTTTGCCAAACTACACATCAGAATTGAAGGTGCCAATTAACCTCAGCAGTTTGAGTGCCAGTTTCTCTATACCATCACCAGCACTAGATATGGCTAATTTGTTAGATCTTGGGAAATCAAGTAACATTAAACCAAGAGTTGTTTTTGGCTGACATTTTACCACAGCCTTTTGAGTGCCGCAAGGAAAAAAAGGGTGGTTTTAGGGAAGTGTACATTAACCCTGTGTACTTGCATCACACCCTAGAAAGCCCACAGAAAATACTGTCCAGGATAAAGTAGATCCTCATGAGAAGGCAAAGGAAATATAATTCATATCAAAATGCTGTTTTATTAGTTAGAAATACTAAAAAAATAAAATGGTACTCAATGAAAATAAAAGATATTTTCTGCCAATCAGTTTCATGATAACATTTCTTCTGTCTCAAGTCCTTATTAGAATACTGTAGTAGTTGGCCGGACATGGTGGCTCAAGCCTGTAATCCTAGCATTTTGGGAGGCTGAGGCAAGAGGATGGCCTGAGCTCAGGAGTTCAAGACCAGCCTCGGCAACTTGGTGAGATCTTGTCTCTACAACAAATCAAAAACCAAACAGGGTATGGTAGCATGTGCCTATAGTTCCAGCTACTTGAAAAGCTGAGGTGGACAGATCACCTGAGCCCAGCAGGTTGAGGCTGCGATGGCCATGAGCATGCCACTTTAGCCTGGGCACAGAGTGAGACTCCGACTCAAAAAAAAACATAGCAGAATTCTAAGATGGATCCCATAATCTCCATGCATTCTCATTTCACACCCTTTATAATTGGCAGAACCTGTGACTTGCTTTTAACCAAAATAATATGGCAAAGGTGATAGGATGTTGCTCCCTTGATGGGGTGTCACTCCTGTGATTATGTTCTACATAGAGCTCCATCTTAGCAAATTGAGAACCCCTTACTGGCTTTGAAGAAGCTGCCATGTAGTAAGACAGCCTACAGGTAACAAGGAATGCAGGAAATCCCTAGGAGCTGAGAGCAGCCCCTAGGTCAAAGACAAAAGTCATCAAGAAAACAGGTGAAACTTGAATTCTGTCAACAGGCTGAGGGAACCTGGAAGTCAGTCATTCCCTAGGTGAGCCTCTGATGAGACTGCTACCCCAGCTAACACCTGGATTTCAGCTATGTGAGACAGAGGGCCCAGTTACACTGTGCCCAGTTGTAAGATAATATGTGTGTTGTTTTGAGATGTCAAGTTTGTGGTAATTCGTTACACAACAACAAAAAGCTACCATGATTACCTATGATAAACTTTTTAAATCAGTGTGATTTTTTAATAAAGGCTATAATTATTTTATCAATAAAGACTTTAAACAGCTTCATTCCATTAGATATTAATATATGAGTAAATTGATGTGCTCTGATAAGAAACCAGAATTAAAGGATAACATTAATACTTTTTCCTTAAGATAATACTCACAAAAGGTACAATACACTTTCGTATATGGCCAAACTGTGCAAAGTGTTCTCTCAGCTCACCTGCATGAGGGGAGAAAACATTAAAAATAGTTAAGATGTTTATTATTCTCTTAAAGTGTGGACAGAAACCAAAAGAAGTCCCAGAGCCACCCAACTGCCTTTGGAATAGAACGACTTCGCATGTCCTTAAAGCCTTAAGATTTAGAAAACAGCTGTGGTACTGATGATAAAGCCGTACTGTACCAGGTTTGGTCTGGGATGGAGACTGGAAAGATAAATCCTGAGCTGGCTGCAGTCACTATCCTCAGCAGATATTGAGTGTTTTCATTATACTAGATATTATGCTAGGTATGTGGATTAACAGTTATAATCCAGTGTGTTGCTGGCTATGAAAGACGTCAAAGTAAAATTCTAACTTACTGACTTTCATAATTTAAACTTTACACTAGGTTAAACAGTTGGTGCTTAAACATTTGTTGAGGTGACTTACCTACCCTTCCTGCTTACTTGGCCACTGCTGACCCTTATTTACTCTCTAGTACAGCAAACTGAATTCTCTGTACCTGTCCTGTGGATTTCCATCATTGCATAGGTTGTTCACTCACCTGGATATGTCAGTAACTCTATTTCCTCCTGCCTAAGTTGTAACTATCCTTTGAGACCCAAAACAAATACACCCACTGAGTATTACTTTATTGGGCTCCTACTGCAATATAACACAATGTACTAGCCCTGTGAGACCTCAAAGATTTATGGTATGTAATCTTAAAGATGAAAAACAATATGACCCCCCTCTCTCTTCTGACTACAGTGCTTGTACATCACTGATTTACTTTTTTTTTTTTTTTTTTGAGTTGGGGGTCTCACTCAGTTGCCCAGGTTGGAGTGCAGTGGCACAATCACGGCTCACTGCAGCCTCGACCTCCGGGGCCCAGGCGATCCTTCCGCCTCAGCCTCCCAAGTAGCTGGGATTACAGGTGTGAGCCACTCTGCCCAGTCAAAACATACACGTTTTAAACCAGGTATTAAGACTATTAGAAAACATTCACTCCCCCTACTCAAAAAAACAGCTCTGGAAGGTAGCCCTTTTCCTAAATCACCTAGAATTGTTAAGGAGAAACAGCTGCAAGCACCAAAAACAAGCCTACCATATAACAGATACTACATAAATATTTACTGAATGAATAAATGAACTGAGAGAACATTTTCAAAGTTGTACATTAGGCTGACTCTCTTTAAAGGTTTTAAACCAGCTTCCATCTGCAAGATGCTAGTGAAAACCCTGGACCTTCCAATAAAGTTCCGCAGGGCCTAAAGGAGGGTTGTGGCTGTGCTTGGTCTTGGTCAACCACATATTAAAAAGGTGGGGCACAAGCTGGGCTCAGCCTGTAATCCCTCGCCTTTGGGAGGCTGAGGTGAGTGGATTGCTTGAGCCCGCGGGTTCGAGACCCGCCCGGGCAACTTGGCGAGACCTCATCTCTACAATAAATCAAAAAATGAGCCGGGCGTGGTAGCGCGCGCCTGTAGTTCCAGCTACTTGGAAGGCTGAGGCGGAAGGATCGCTGGAGCCCAGCAGGTTGAGGCTGCAGTGGCCGGGAGCAGCCGCTGCACTCCAGTCTGGGCGACAGAGTGAGACTCCAACTCAAAAAAAAAAAAAAGGAAAGTGGGGCACAAACCATCTACTTCCCATCCTACTACTACTATCTGAGACACAAAAACCAAGAGGAGAGTAAATCTCATTTCATTCTTTTGTTTGACGGAGCTGACCTGATACATGACTATCTATAAAAAAGTGACATTAATTTCTAAATTTTGGTAAGCAATTATAAAAGCTTTATCTCAAAACTGCAGCTGACAAAATTAAAGTGAGTGAGAGATTTCAGAATTACTCCGACCAGGTCTCTCCAATGAGCTTCAAATTTAGCTATAATGTAAATATCATCTTGGGGGTACTTACACTGTACCTAACACAAGTCTAAGAAGTTTACATAAACTTATTTGATTCTCTCAACGATCCTGAGTTAACTTCTATTGCCTCCATTTTGTCAATGAGTAAACTGAGGCACAGATGTGAGCACTTTTCCCAGATTAACGTCCGTTATTCAGGTGACAGACCTATTCAACAGCCGACTTGGAATTCTAAACCACGCAGTCTGGTTCTTCTCAATTACACTGATATACAACCTCTCTGTCCAGTTTTCTGACGAAGAGCTCGCCAGCTCCTCAAACTCAGCACATTCACAAACTTCACTCATCTCGTTTCGGCCTGCTCCTCGTCAGTTCTAAACGCGCAATTCACCGACGCTAAAAACCCAGAAATTATTCCTCCCCGGCCCTTACTTCGCACACCTTCCCCCGTCAAGCCATCAGGAATCGTCGTCGATATCGTTTTGATAACCTAAGGATCTGACTCCCCGTCCCTCCTACCACTGCCCAAGTTCATTCGGGTCCTCGCCTTTTAACTACGTTACTCAAACTGCCTTTCGGCTCGCCTCCACGCCTAGTCTTGCCATCTTGAATCCCTCCTCCGCACTAGTCAAAATAATCACTTCTAAGTAATAAATCTTAAAACGACCAAGTAAGAAACCTTCCCACCAAGTCACTCTGAAAGGCAGGAGACCGTGAGTCATTGCCCCCAAACCTCAGGGAGCATCCCTGAGCACATTTCTTTCTGTCCACTGGCTTGCTTAAGAGCAAACTGAGCTTCCTAATCCAGCCACCACGCTGACCTAAGCACCTACAAAAGCAGAGGTCTTGAGCACCACTTGGACCTCAAACGTCCGCTCCCACGTCTCCATCACTCACTCGACGCCGCGGTCCAAGGGATTTTTCTAACAAAAGCAACGTGCCGATTAATATTTGCTCGCATCGCCACGGTTCCTCTGGCCGCCAAGGCCGCCATCTTTAAACTACGGGGCCTCCGGGACCTGAGGTCGCGACCTCGGAAAAACCTTCCGCATCCGGGGCATGGAATCTGCTTCCGGGTCAAAAGGGCCCGGCAGCGAGATGGGGAAGATGGCGGCGGCCGTGGGCTCGGTGGCGACGCTGGCGACAGAGCCTGGGGAAGACGCCTTCCGGAAGCTTTTCCGCTTCTACCGTCAGAGCCGGCCCGGGACCGCGGACCTGGGCGGGGTCATCGACTTCTCGGCGGCCCACGCGGCTCGGGGCTCGGGTCCTGGTGCCCACAAGGTACGGAGGGAGACCAGTTGTCACGAAACGAACCCTGCCCTCCTTGGGCCAGACTCGAAGTGCCCACTGACCGCCACACCTGGGTAATAAAGCGTTGAGCTGCCGGTTTCTTCGCTCATTCGTTCCCGGTTGCGCCCTCTGTCACCAAAGCCCGGGAACTGGTGTTTAGTCCTCCCTTTAACCGCCCACTGACATTTCTTGTGTGGTTTGTGCAAAACCGGCAGAAAGTCTTCGTAGACGTTGGGGTAGCGCTCCGCAGCTTGCAGAAACCATCGACAAGAGTCCCAGAACTGGGAGGGATCCGACGTTGTGTGTCAAGTCTCTGTACATAAAACAAGTCCCTGCCTTCTTTTCTGGGCCTCTTAGGAGGTCATGGAAGGATTCTAAGAAAATCTCCGAGTGGAAAATAAATGACAAACGAGTGTCTATAGAATCCAAGCACCGACCCTTATTTCAGCTTTCCGCTATGGAAGTTAAGGACCATAACTGGGAGGAGGGGCACACGGGAAACCACAACCGTAGAGCTAAATGTATTTTCTTTATAGTCGCCTTAACATTGATGATATGCAATCCCTCCATTTACCCCTGTGTTGCCCACAGATGTCTAGATGAGGCATTCTCTCCAAGCTTCCTAATGGTGCTCAATAAAATCGGGACGCCATAGTAACTCCATCCTTGTCTAGAACTCAGTCTCTCGGTAACTTCATTTGTTAGCAAAATGGTCTGAGTTAGGTCTTAGTTATATTTAAAGGAAAAATAAAAGTGGTCTGAGAGTTGTCAAAAGACATACAGAAAGTTCACACCCCAAGAGTAATATATTTGTCTAGAGAGAGCCCTTCAGACCCTCATCAGCTCCTTTTGCCCTTTTTTTCAGTTTACATTACTAAGGATCTTTTTACCTATATTTTGTCATCATACACATGTGCTTTTAGAATGTACCACCTGAAAATGGGACATTGTGTGTCTAGCACGGTACCTAAAACAGCACTGAATAAATACAGTATGTGTTGTGTACGTGAAAATTTGTGTGTTTGGTTGTGCAGCTCAGCAAAATAAAAGTGACAAGGCTGGTTGTGGTGGTTTATGCCTATAATCCCAGCTCTTTGGGAGGCTGAGGTGGAAAAATCTCTTGAGCCAGGAGTTCAAGACCAGCCTGGGCGAAGTAGCGAGACCTCATCTCTATTGAAAAAAAAAAATTTGTTTTTGATTTTTGAGTTGGAGTCTCACTCCGTCACCAAAGGTGGAATGCAGTGGCACACTCACGGCCACCCCAGCTGGGCTCTGGCGATCCTTCCATCTCAGCCTTCCAAGCAGCCAGAACTACAGGCGTACGCTACCCTGCCAGGCTAATTTTTTTTTTTAATTGAAGAGACGAGGTCTCACCAGGTTGCCCTGGCTCATCTCAAACCTGCAGACTTAGGCAATCCACTCGCCTTGACCTCCCAGAGTGCTGGGATTATAGGCTGAGCCACTGAGCCCTGCCTGGAAAAAAAATTTTTTAATTTAAGTAAATAAAAAAGCAGCAAATAAGAGAAAAAGTTGCTATTACAAGACAGCTGATGGGAACAGTGAGGAAAGTGGTAGGTAACAGTCTGGCAAGGGAAGAAACAGATGCACTTTTTAAAAATCTCAGTAGTTTGGTTCAGTTTAGCATGTGATAGAATAGGTCCACAAACATACTTCACCTCTAAGGGTGTTTTTGAATTTTAGTGCAGGATTAAGGATGGTCTAGATAAGAAACAATGAGAGATTGTTTTGTTAGCCCCTAAGTATCTGGAAAACTCAGCTGATCAGGGCTCTTAGAGAGTTCTAGATAGACATTTTATTATAGAGACTGGTTGTACATCAGCCATTTATTGGTATTTTGTTTGAAAACTACACACTTAGAGAAGCTGATAGGATACAAAATAATTATTTCTCTTTGGAAGAAAACACGTGACACATTCTAAGGCAAACCAGATCCTAGGTTAATTATTCATGGAAGAATAAAGGGATTTCTTCTTTTTGTTTGTTTGTTTGTAGAGATGAGTTCTCACTATGTTGCCCAGGCTGGTCTCAAACTCCTGACCTTAAGCTATCCTGATTCAGCTTCCCAAAGAGCTGGGATTACTGGTGTAAGCCACTGTGCCCTGCAATGGTTTTTTTCCTCAATGTCCTTACTTTAGTGACTGCATATTGGATCTGTTAACCAATATAATGAGCAATCCGTAAAATACTCTTATGTACAAAGAAAACTTCCATCAGTCCCTGCAATACTAAATTCATTTCTAAGTAATTAACAAAAGCAAAAGTTCTAACCTCAGTTTGACATTTCATCAAAAAGAGAGCAATTATTGAACTTTCAGCAAACTGTTTTCCTGAAACATTTTTTCCTCTTAGAGCATTCTTTCCATTCTCTCGCCCTCTCCAGCCTGGTGTTCCTTATAGGTCTGTTTCAACATCAGTTGTATATAAGTGTCTCAAAAGCATTACTGTTAGCCCTAATCAAAATAATAATGAAAATGAATTTTTTTTTTTTTTTTTTGTGTGTTGGAGTCTCACTCTGTCACCCAGACTAGAGTGCAATGGCTGCTCCCGGCCACCACAGCCTCGACCCGCTGGGCTCCGGCGATCCTTTCGCCTCAGCCTTCCAAGTAACTGGAACTACAGGCATGCGCTACCACGCCCAGCTAATTTTTGATTTATTGTAGAGATGAGGTCTTATCAAGTTGCCCAGGGGGGTCTCGAACCCGCAGGCTCAGGAAATCCACTCACCTCGGCCTCCCAAAGTGCTGGGATTATAGGCTGAGCCACCGAGCCCGGCCCGAAAATGAATATTTCAATACACCAAATGCCTTTCATGATTCAGTTCTATAACAGGTTGCAAAGGTCATAGGAAATGGTAGTTGTGAAAGCCAAAATCACCCTGCTTAAATTTTTTTGCAATCACTTATTTCTTGTGTTTTGTTTGTAGAGTATATAAGTGAGAAACTGAGGCTCTAAAACACCTAGATCAGGCTAGCAGTGGAGCTAAGATTAGTATTCCAGACTAAACACTCCCAGCTTTGCCGTATACCAGAAGTGTCTTTGAAGGTTTGAGGTTCCCAGGGTTGACCTGCAAAATAGCTTCAGCCCTCTGATTTCTGTTTCCTTCCTGCCAGGTGGTCAGATCTCCACTGAGTGTGTCCTCAGTCAGTGAACATGATGCACATAGAGCAGGACTTCAGCCCGTCAGCAAGTGGCGAGCCTATGGACTTGAAGGTTATCCTGGTGAGTGCAGCTGACCTTCAAGAGGGCGAAGCCACTGTGTAATTCCAGAGCAGGAGCTGTGAGCAAGTAAATCAACAAAAGAAAAAACTAAACCAACAAGTCTTTCACTTCCACACCCATTCTAAGTGGTGCCTTGTCCAAGTTATCCATTCCCAAAGGATAAAACAGGTGTCAGCGGTACCTGCCTTTCATATCAGAAAATGGCATGACAAAGAGAAATATAAAGACATTGACTCTAGGCTCCCTGCCACAATCAGAACACCTACTTTGGCAGAAGAACTACTTAAAATGAAAATGTATAATTAACATTATAATTGTCTTATAATAGTTATCGTTATGAATAATTCATAATGTCACTCTAGTCACATTCTCAAATGGCATAACTTAAAACTTCTTGCTATTAAAGCTGATCTATTTTTTTTTGAGTTGGAGTCTCACCCTGTCACCCAGGCTGGAGTGCAGTGTCATGCTCACACCACCATAGCCTTGACCTGCTGGGCTCAGGTGATCCTTCTGCCTCAGCTTTTCAAGTAGCTGGAACTACAGGCATGCACCACCACACCCAGCTAATATTTTGATTTTTTTGTAAAGATGAGGTAATACCAAGTTGCCCAGGCTGGTCTCGAACCCCTGGGCTCAGGCAATCCTCTCACCTCCACCTCCCAAAGCGCTAGGATTACAAATGTGCATCACTGCACCTGGCTTAGAGAAATCTTTAAAAATGAATGTCAGATTTTGTTGTGCTGATTGCCAGTACTATTTATATTACAGCTCATAGTACATTGTGACCACTGAAATATCTCTTAATAATAGAGGAAGATGTAACAACTGTACTACTCCTATAAAAGGCCTCATGTATTTCAGTTCCCTGTGAAGTGACAAAGGAAACAGTTGAATGGTGGCATTTTGCATAAGGAGGCATCACTCCTGGGGGTTCAGGTAAAGGTAGAGCATGTATCACCAGCTATCTTGTTCTTGGAGGCGGCTCTCTAATGTTCGGCTCTAGAACCTGTTTTCAAAGCCATGATTTTCTGTTGCTTTAAGTGTCTTCCCTTAACAGAAGTTCAGACTACAGAATTAGGAACCCCGCTTTGATGTTGTACTGTCTAAACTGGTGTACTTGCTTTCTGAGGTTTTCTAGGATCTCCTGCTTAATTAAGCCACATTATTTGGGTTAATAATTATTTGGGTAGAGAATTTCTTCTGTCTTCCCTGCCATTAGAAGCTGTGTTTAACAGAAGTATAATTTCAAAGTGTAGGAGAGAGCAGTTTCATCTTACTCTGAGTTGATCAAAGGATTTTGTTTACTTCTGGATCCTACTTATTCTGAAGGAGCCTGAGTGTACCACAACCTGTCCTTACAAGAACGAATAAGAAGTTGATGGGTCTGGAAACCAGAAACATAGTCTAGGAAACAGAAGACTTTCAGGGAAACATGATAGCATCAAATATTTGAACAGTCCTAATCACTCTTGGCCTCAGTTTCTTTATATGTAAAATGCGTATAAAAATAGGGCCGACCTTATGAGGTTTTTATGAGAGTTAAGTGTGAATATATATGTTAAGTGCTTATGTCAGTGCAATTATCAAGCACATAGCGTTCAGAAGCTGTAGGTTTTTATCAAGTAAATACTCAATAAATATTAGCTGTAAAGCTGTAGAATTAAAAACTGATTTGGGATTGCTCTAGGTGTCAGAACCCAAGACTAATGAATGAAAATTAAAGAGAGGCAGATTTTTTTAACTCAGTAAAAAGAAGGCAACATAACAGTTGTTTGAAATGGACAGCCCAAAGAGATACTAAAGTACCTATCACTTTTCAAGCTTGCACTATATCAGAAGTATTCCTGCTTTAATCTGATATGTTTGGGAGTATTATAATATTTCTTTTTTGTGTGTGTGAAATAATGGTGACAGCAGATGGTAGGTAATGGGAGTTTTTTCCTATCTTTTTGTCCCTCAAAATACTGACATTCCGACTACTCTCCCAAATTATTTGGAGAATTTTACTGATAAATGAAATGCAACTAGGGTTCCTACTTTTTAGAGATACATTAGAGGAAACATAGAGATAGCATTCAAGCTAAATGAGCCTTAAGGTGAATCTCTGTGAGTGATCTTTTGAACATCTTTGTTACTCAGCCTTTTACAGTCAGTCTTCTCCCCTTTCTTTTCTTTTTTTGTAAGTTGCAGTCTCATCTGTCTCCCAGACTGGAGTGCACTGGCACACTCACGGCCACTGCAGCCTCGACCTGCTGGACTCTGGTGATCCTTCCATTTCAACCTTCCAAGTAACTGGAACTACAGGCATGTGCCATCATGCCCAGCTAATTTTTGGTTTTTTTTTTGAGTTGGAGTCTCACTCTGTCGCCCAGACTGGAGTGCACTGGCCACTCCCGGCCACCGCATCCTCGACCTGCTGGGCTCCGGCGATCCTTCTGCCTCAGCCTTCCAAGTAGCTGGAATTATAGGTGCACACTACCACGCCTGGCTCATTTTTTTTTTTTTTTTGATTTATTGTAGAGATGAGGTCTTGCCAAGTTGCCCAGGCTAGCCTCAAACCCATGGACTCAGGCAATCCTCTCTCCTCGGCCTCCCAAAGTGCTGGGATTATAGGCGTGAGCCACTGCGCCCAGCTTTCTTTCTTTTCTTGCTGCATTACTGTACAGACTGCCTAGATGATGAAATCCACCAGCCTCTCTCTTTTTCTTGGTGGGTAAAAAATCTTTGGCTGTATGAGGTTTCATTGGTGCCAGACTTTGGCATTAGGCTTAATTTAGAGTAAATGCTTTTGACAACATTAAGTGGTGAAATAGGATTGATTAACTGCACTGACTAGCCTATCCTCAGTGAACATTTCTTTTTTTTTCCTGAGTTGAAGTCTCACTCTGTTGTCCAGGCTGGAGTGCAGTGGCACACTCATGCCACCCCAGCGTCGACCTGCTAGACTCAGGCGATCCTTCTGCCTCAGCCTTTCAAGTAGCCAGAACTACAGGTGTGCACTACCACACCCAGCTGATTTTTTAAATTTATTGTAGAGATGAGGTCTTGCCAGGTTGCCCAGGCTGGTCATGAACCTGTGGGTTCAGGCAGTCCTCTCACCTCGGCCTCCCAAAGTGCTGGGATTACAGGCTTGAGCCACTACATCCGGCCCTTAGTGAACATTTCTAAGCTGTCTAGATGTTTTTGATATCTGCAAGGATCTAAATAAAAACTTATAAGTACTTTTAGTAAGATTTAGTGCAGTGGAAGAGTCTTCAGATTATTTTCTATAAGTTTCTGCCATATCAACACAAGCTCCTTTCTGCTGAACCACATGTAGTTTACAATCTCTTTGAAATTCTGATACTAGTCGTGGTCAGAGCCTAGTCTTTATAAGCCACAGAGCATGAGTTTGTTGCCTGTGAGGGCTTACTGGTTTTGCTTGTTTCATGGCCACAAATTCTGCTTTATTGTTGTGTCCCAAATGTAAAGGGGGAACCCAAAAAAAACCCCAGAATTTGTTTATTAAAAATTGTGCATTCCCACATTTAAACTTCAGTTACCTTCAAAGTACTCTCTTTTTGATGCAATACACCTATTGAGATGCTTTTTCCCCTTCTCAAAACCACTTTTGAATTTGTCACTTTTGATGCCTTTTAGTGCTTCTGCTGGGTTTTTTTGTTTCACCTCTTCTACATCGGCAAAACGTTTCCTTTGAGGACTTTTTTCTTGTTTCAGGGAAATAAGAAAGTCACAAGGGGTGAGACTGGGTGAATAGGGAGAGTGGGGCATGGGGTTTATGCCATTTTTAGCCAAAAATTGGTGAACACTGAATGTATGCTCATAAATCACCCATCGTGAAATGGACAAATGTGTTGAGTCTTCAAAAAAAAATTCACTGAAGCTGAATGCAGCCTCTCACAACAGTGCTTACTGGTACGCTGATGCCGTTGGATTCCTAGAACACTTACCTAGTGGGAGAAGCCTGTGCTAGAAAGGACCTGCCCTCCAAAAAAACGAATTCTGGGTTTCTTAGACCCTCCCTCATATGCTGTTGGCCACACAGTGGACCAGGAGAGGGCTGAATCCATGAATCATGTTACCTCTCTGAACGCCTGTTCTCTTACCTGCAAAATTGGGATAGTGGCTTCCCTCATGGAATGACTAAGATTAATGAGATAGCATAAGGTCACTAGCACAGGGGTTGACACTGGTAGGCATACTGTAATTTTTAGCAGCTACTGTAATTAATGACATAGGAATAAACTTATTTACTGTTCATAGCTGTTACTAAGCTTCATTACTGATCTATGCCCAAATTGCATGCCAAAGAGAAGAGAGAAAGAACAGTCCTGTGATGCCAGAGTTGCTTGTTTTTGCCCCAGCTCATTGTCTTCACTCTCTGCTTTCCAAAGTCATTCTCTCTGAGGGTGTTTCCATAAAATGTGCTGTCACTGTTTGTGTGTAGACCAGGAGTTGGCAAACTACAGAAGGGAGCCGAGCCCCGAATTTTGTAAATACAGTTTTATTGGAACACAGCCATGCCTATTAATTCACTTACTATCTATGTCTACTTTCCAGCTGCAGTGGCAGAGTTGAGTGCTAAAGAAACCAAATAGCCCTCAAAGCCTAAAGTATTTACTGTCTAGTCCTTGACAGAAAAGGTTTGCTGACCTCTGGTCTAGACTAGATTTGGAGTACCGCCAGGAACTGAATACCTTCAAATTATTGCCAGCATGTAATTCAGAAATCTTTAAGCTTTAGTCCTTAATATCCCTTTGCAAAGGGAGCATTATGCTAATATATAATGATTGCCTTTTGTATTATTTCATTGATTCCTGCTTGTCCTCAGGACCCTGCCCCACCATGCCCCCTCCCTTGCTGAGATGGCCCTGCTGTTTATCTGATTGGGAAATTGAGCCTATCAAACACGAGGCCTTCAGCTTCTAGTGGTCCCTCCACCTAGGAGCAGATGATCTCCTTCCTGTGCTCCAGTCTTAGGGGAAGAGGAATTCGTCAGCTTACAACTGGTCCTTCAGTCCTCGTGGTCACACCTGCTTTGACCTCACTGGCTCTCAAGGCCTTACTCTGTTCCCGTCCTTTCTCCTGTTTCCAAACAGTTCTTCTCTGCTGGCTGTTTCTTCATGATCTCTAAGTGTGCTTATGTCTTGCCAGTTCCTATGAACTGCAGACTCTCTTCTTAATTCTTTATGACTACTCCTCAGCCTTTGTTTTCTTTCATAACCAGACTTCAAAAAGGCGTTAACTGGCCTTACTGATCTTTCTCCAGACACAGGTTTTCAACTTTTTATCTCAAATTCTTAAGAAGTACCTGGTATGTACTGTTTGTTGAGTGTTTGATGTATGAATGAATTTTTACCATGCATAGGATTCCAGTTAAATATAATTATTCACCTTTTATGGAGGAGAAAAATAAGGCTAGGTTGCTGTCAAGGTCACAGAAATCTTTCCAACAAACATACTGTAGTTACTTGCATTGTGCCATCCTAGAAGATGTGTATGCCATCATTCTTTCTGCTGTGTCACTCAGGGTTCAGTCAAGAGTTAAACATCACCAATTATTTTAGTAGAGATAGTTTAATATAAAGAATTCTTAGGTATTAGCAAACTGAAAAATTAAAAAGAGAACACTGAGGTAGTAACTGCAGGAAGCTGCTACCACCCCATGACCGAGGGAACAGAAGAACCTGGGATTATTCAGTTTAGAAGCTTGGAAGAGGGACCTCGTGAAACGGGTGCTTAGACTTCTGAGGAAGAGACATAATGAGGCTCCTTCCAGTGATGTGGGAAAACTGCATTAGAACCAACTTTCACCCTCTGGTCTCCATTAGTGCTCCCTGTGCAAAGGTTAGCAGGGAGCCATCCGGCAAAAAAAAAGTGCTGTTGGCAAGGTCTCAGCCCCATGTTGTGAAGCCAAATACAGAAGGGTGGGTTTGGAACCGAGCGAAAATAGATTAATAACCAGCACACTGTGCATTAGATGATGACTTTCAGAGCTGCGTTGCAGTTAAGTTTCGGTTGCAGTTTGGGTGGCAGCCCTCCTGTGTCTGCAGGAATTGGATAGGGAGGAAAGGAAGTCTTGGACTCTAGATGGCAAGGCCTGACGAGGAGTAGGGGGCGCTTTTGGCACTTCAGTTGTCAGGTTCGCTTTGGAGAACACAATTGGCAGGTGACCTTGTGGAATATTTGTTTCTCTTGAGAATAACCCCAAAAGCCCAGCCCATTTGCATAGTGGCAGATGTCTGATGTTCATCAAAACTTCGCTGTTCATTAACTTGAAGCATGACCAAAATAATATGGGGAGTAAATGACAGAATGGTGAGTGTAGGGTGTCAGCACAAAGAAATGGCCTGAATAACTGATGGAGAATTTTCCCCTCCTTCTTTTCCACCCATCTTTTGTATAGGATTTATTTTTATCCCAAACCCCTTCCTCCCAGGTTACCAGTGGCACTGGGTGAAGCAGTGCCTTAAGTTATATTCCCGGAAACCTAATGTTTGTAACCTGGACAAGCACATGACCAAAGAAGAGACCCAAGACCTGTGGGAACAGAGCAAAGAAATCCTGAGGTAAGTCCTGTCGGTCAGAATAAAATGTCAGTCCTCAGCTCATCACAGATCTGAAGAAACTATTCTGTAACAATGCAGTAAAGTGACTGGTCTGTTTTTTCTCATTGTTTCTGAACCAACAGAGCACCATTGCATTCTTTCCCTGAGGACATTTGGACAGATGCTTTGACAGTTATATTAAATTGAGATCTGTTTTAAAGATTTGCTTATCATAGATTAGGTATTGACTTCATCCTCATTAATCATCACATGATCCGTTTTCATTCAGCTTCAACCTACTTAAAATGAGTTCCTTTTGAAGACTTGTGGTACCCTAGGAAAAGGTGACATTGAAAGCTCTTCTACTCTGCTAGAGTCAGTCCTACTAGCTGTTTTATGATAGGTCAGCTGTTCCTCAAGAGAAGAACTAATATTTGTACCTTCATGTGATTTCAACAATCATTCATTCATTCCAAATCTATGTAGGGTCAGTAATGTGCTAGGCATGATGCTAGGCTTTGGAGACACAAAGGTACAGGCTTTCTCCCTGCACTCACCAGTGCAGAGTCTATGGCAGGAACCTCAGTAACCACAGGAGTAAATTATGCTCGAGCTCAGAAAGTGTTATCATGGGGCTTAAGAAAACAGTGTGGAGCACAGAGGAGGAAATGGTTAGTTCTTCCAGGCAGGGTAGAGATGTCAAAGAAGAAAAAGAACTTTTTAAACTTAGATTTTTTATTCTCATTTTTTTTTTCCTGTTCATTTGAACTGATCTTCTTTTTTCTTTTTTTTTTTTTTTGAGTTGGAGTCTCACTCTATCGCCCTGACTGGAGTGCAGTGGCTGCTCCCAGCCACCGCAGCCTCGACCTGCTGGGCTCCAGCGTTCCTCCTGCCTCAGCCTTCCAAGTAGCCAGAATTACAGGCATGCACTACCACGCCCGGCTGATTTTTTGATTTATTGTAGAGATGAGGCCTTGCTGCCCAGGCGGGTCTCGAACCCACGGGCTCAGGCAATCCACTCACCTCAGCCTCCCAAAGGCATGGGATTACAGGCTGAACCACCGAGCCCGGCTTGAACTGATCTTCAAAAATGACTAGGGGCTTACCAGACAAGTAAGAAGGCTCTTCTGGGTAGAGAAAGCAGTCTGAGCTGGACACAGTACCTCACACCTGTAATCCCAGCAACTCGGGAGGCCGAGGCAGGAGGAATCCTTGAACCCAGGAGTTTGAGACCAGCCTAGGCAAGATAGTGAGACCCTGTCTCTAAAAAAATTAACTGAGCATGGTAGCATGCACCTGTGGTCCCAGTTATACTAGTGAGGCTGAGGCCAGAGGATCCCTGGAGTCCAGGTGTTCAAGGCTGCAGTGAGCTTGGGAAACAGAACAAGAACAGCTTGGGAAACAGAACAAGACCTCGTCTCTTAGAAAAAAAGAACATTCTGAGCAAAGATAGAATTTTTAAAACAGAGTAAATTGTTCTATGAGATGGGAGCACAGAATCTGCACATTCGTATGTTGATTTGACAGATACTTATTGAGTTTCTGCTATACGTTAGACACTGTGCTTGAGTGTTAGAGATTCAAAGGTAAGAAGCAGTTCCTGCCGGACTCGGTGGCTCAGCCTGTAATCCTGCACCTTGGGAGGCTGAGGTGAGTGGATTGCCTGAGCCCGCGGGTTCAAGACCCGCCTGGGCAACTTGGCGAGACCTCATCTCTACAATAAATCAAAAATTAGCTGGGTGTGGTATCGCACACCTGTAGTTCCAACTATTTGGAAGGCTGAGGCAGAAGGATCACTGGAGCCCAGCAGGTTGAGGCTGCGGTGACCGGGAGCGCCACTGCACTCCAGTCTGGGCAACAGAGTGAGACTCCGACTCAAAAAAAAAAAAAGCAGTTCCTATCTTCAGGGACTTTGTACTTGACTCGAGGACAGAGACATATAAACAGATAATTTAATGCAATTTGGTAGGTAAAGGGATTGCGTGCACAAGGTATAATGGGAGTGGTCACTTAAGCGCAAGCTTGTGGATAGACTATGGAAAGTGCTTCCTGGAAGTCTTGGATAGGATTGGTGAAACCTGATGTGGGAGAGGTGGATCAGCGCCAGGCTGGAAATGAGTAGTGGTGTGGAGCACCAGCTCTGGAGTCTGACTCCCAGTGTTCGAATCCTGCCTTTGCCGTGACTGGCTGTGTGGCCTTGCATAAGTTGCTTAACCTTTCTGTACCTCTTAATGGATTCCTTATTGAATAGTATGAAGATTAAACAAAATAATATGTGAAAAGCCCTTAGAACAGTGCCTGGTAAAACTATTTTACCAACTTTGTGTCGCATTTGGTTCAAAGTGGTCTTGATGATGTCATTTTTAGAAACTGATGCTGTTTCTAACAGGGAAGTAGAAGGTATTCTTAAGTTAAAAGGGGAAAGGAGGTAGTATTCAGTGGTTTTCTTTAAGCCTTCTTAGTCTGTAGGTTATGGTGTAGATGGGAGCAGTGAGGAAACCCCTACCATAAACTTTTAGTAGTATCCTTAGAACTGAGAGCAGAGTAAAGGAGCATCATGATTGAGTGAAATTAGTCAGATAGCTTATTGCTATTAAACCAGCCTGTTTTCAATTAATTGATTTTTTTCCTTCTGATACATGAGTCTGCAGGAATCTCAGCTGTCTTCTTATAAGATAGCGCAGATGAATCTCTGTTATAAATCATCCTGTAAACAATGGTGAAATGCATTGTTTTGTCTAATAAATTAGCAAAAATAAAAAATGTGATGGTCCTGCCTTATGTTGTCTTGGGTTGGAAGAAACCGATAAGGTCAGACATTGTGCTGGCAGCGTGAGAATCAATGAGGCTCAGTTCCCATTCTGTCGCCGCGTGACGCGTGTTTCAGTTTCCTTGTGGGAAACGAGGTATAGGGCTGGGTGAGCCATTCTAGGGGTTGCGGCACGTCAGGCCAGCTCGCGTGGGTGGCACAAGGCAGCTCTCCCCACTTTGCTAGGGTCTGCCAGAAAGGGAGAGCTTTTGTGCAAAAGCCTCCCTTGGAGATTCTGATCAGCTGCCATAACATCCTCTCACACTAGAAACATTGAGCCTGAGGACCTTTAAAGATCTCAGTTTTAATTTTCTAGAATTCTGTTATCAGGGAAGAATAAATGTTAAGTAGAGTGAAAAAGAAATATTTGAACTTAGAAGCAAAAATAGAACTCTTCTTAAAATGAGGGCACCTCAGTTCTGCTTTGCTCAAAGTGAAGAGTGTGGCTTGAGATTCCTGACGAGAGTCAGGTGCAGATGTCTCTGTTGCAGGATTGCTTATGACAGAAACAATCATGGAGACAGCCAGAGTCCACACAGGGGACCAGGTGGATCAAGCCTAGTATATCTAAGCCATAGAGTACAGCCACTATGCAACCATTAAAAATCCTTAAGTCCAACTCTCTAGCATGTATAATAGACTTTAGAGCCAGAATAAGTCCAGTCATTTCTCTCCATTTCCAGCACAACTACCTTGTTCTAAGCCACCATCATTTCTCATCTGGAATATGGCAGTAGCCTCCTAACTAGTCTCCCTCCTGAGCATAAACTCAGATTTGGTGCACAGGCCCACTGTGATTAACGGAACACCCATCACTCAGAAGTTCCAAGGTTTTAGAGGTTCCCTCCCAGCAGCCAGGGACAAAGGCCAGTTAGATTCTTTGTTATATAACACCGCCACACTGGAAACCATCTAAAGTCCTTATCTTGGATTGCAGGGCCAAGAAGGTCTGGGTCCCGGCCACCTGGCTAACCTCCTTTCCTATATTCCTTTTCATTTGTTGTTCTCTAGCTAAAGTGGCCCCCAGTGTTGTTCTTTTTTTGTTTTTTGTTGTTGTTGCTGTTGTTTTTGAGTTGGAGTCTCACTCTGTCACCCAGGCTGGAGTGCAGTGGCCGCTCTTGGCCACCGCAGCCTCGACCTGCTGGGCTCCAGCGATCCTTCTGCCTCAGCCTTCCAAGTAGCTGGAACTACAGGCGCACACTACCACACCCGGCTAATTTTTTGATTTATTGTAGAGATGAGGTCTCACCAAGTTTCCCAGGTGGGTCTCGAACCCACAGGCTCAGGCAATCCACTCACCTCAACTTCCCAAGGCACAGGATTACAGGCTGAGCCACAGTGTTGTTCTTGTACACATCAGGCTTGCTCAAATTCTTTGTAAAAGCTGTCCCTTCTACTTAGGAAACTCTTCCCTTAGATAAACAATGGCTTGTTTCCTTTAGCTCTTTGTTCTTTTTTTTTTTTACCCTTCCACCTCAGCCTTCCAAGTAGCTGGAACTACAGGCACGCACTGCCACGCCCGGCTAATTTTTTTATTTATCGTAGAGATGACCTCTCGCCAAGTTGCCCAGGCTGGTGTCGAACCTGTGAGCTCAGGCAATCCACTCACCTCAGCCTCCCAAAGCGCTGGAATTACAGGCTGAGCCACCGAGCCCAGCTAGCTCTTTGTTCTAATGTCATAAGAGAGGCTTCCCTTATCATTCACTCAGAAAGAATCCCCTACTTCCCCTCACTCTTTATCATCTTGTCTTGGTTTGTTTTTTTTTAATTAACTTATTTTCTGAGGTGGGGGGTCTCACTATGTTGTCCAGGCTTGCCTTGAACTCCAGGACTCAGGTGATTCTTCCATCTCCATCTCTGAAGTAGCTAGAACTACAGTTTTCTCTCTCTCTTTTCTTTTTTTAAATTTTTTTGCCTGAGTTTTCTAACTTCAGTGCAAGTTAGTTACCAAATAAAAATATATGGATTAATTAATTCTTATACCTTCTGAATCTTGTACAGGTATTATCTATTCAAAAACATTTTTGTAAAGATTAGGACAGGGAAAATATAAACTTAAGTGAAGCAAGTTGGCTTTATTTGTTCTGTAAGTTAGCTTATGAAATACTTTCTATTTATATATATGAAAGCTTTTTTTCCAGTGATATCCTCATTGTGGAGGCAGAATTAATCCTCTCTCTTTTCCAATTCTGCTCCTTTAAAGCTTTGTTTAT